TTTTTATCTCATTTTATGTGCTACAGCTGAGCTTAAAAATCTGAAGTTTGATATGTTGTTTGTCAATGGGGTAGTCGACGAAAATTTTGTCCATTAATCTAATTTTATGTTAGCTAATTAGGCAGCTTAGGACTAGGCAGGAGTACATACACGATATGGTGTTTGCTTCAGATGGGGTCACCCTCAAATTGTAGGTAACTAGCAAACCTTGGGTGATCACCAAATTAAGGGTCAGCAATTATCTTAATTGATACTCTCCACCCCAGCAGTTGTTTAGATACTCGGGTTGGTCGAGGGCAAATGTTGAGCGTGCTGTTCAGACCATTTGAGCAACTGTATTTAAGCGCCATTCTATTTTTAGAATACCTTAACCTCCATCGTGGGGTGGCGGGGTGGGGGTGGGGCATAATGACTTCTCCCTGCGGTAGAACCATCTGCCGTGAGATATCACAGCTATTTCTGGAGCCTACCTTACCCCCCCCCCCCACTGCCCCACCCTATCCTAGCACACGAGTACTCGCGTGCGTTCATATCTCTCGCATGGGGAATGTTGGACATCTTCCTCTACGTCTTTGTATGTATGTATACATGTATATATATATATATATATATATATATATATATATATATATATATATATATATATATATATATATAATTATATGCGGAATACCTACTATCTGCTGTCTGCCTGTGAAAAAATCAGCCTTATCTTTGGCTAGAGAAATCTGACCAATCATATGTGGGTAGCAGAAGGGGTGCGGTGTGGGAGGGGGGGGTGATAGAGGAATTGGGGGAGGGGTGGTAGAGGAATTATGGGGGGGGGGGGGGGGTATTAGAAGGGAGTGTTGCTGTGGTGTTTGTACACATGTAGTTGTGATCATGGACCCGGAACTTTTCAACACTGACCTTGAACTCTGAAAGACCCCCCCCCCCCCCACCCCTCTCCATAGCACCCTGGTACACTCAGGAAACTGATGCTTTTGTTGAGGCAAAGATTTTTGCCAGAATATTTTTTATTACAACTTTGATGAATCAAAATTTAATTATTTATATATATATATATATATATATATATATATATATATATATATATATATATATATATATATATATATATATATATATATATATATGGGTATAGGTATAAGTGAATGAAATGATTGCAAGCACGCCATCGCCACTTATCGAATCATTTCGCCAGCCCGAGGGAAAAATACAGTCACAAGGGACACAACCGGGGAAATTATAAAATTAAACCAGACTTGTCTGCCCCTGTTTATTTTAATTATTCTAACCTCCGTAACGGGGTTTGTTTGTTGATGTTTTTTGTCCTGTAAAATAAATATTTGATTTCAGTTTTTTCATGTATGTGCGCGCTGCGGCCGACTTACTTTGTTTCGTTATTTTAATGCCTGCTTTTTAATAGTATGAATAATTAATTAAATTATCTAATTAATCTAACTAATATAATAGAGCAGGACTATTATTATTGAAAGTTGGGCTTAAAAAACTGTGGGCTTGTTGATATGTGGGCTTGTTGATATGTGGGCTTGTTGGTATGTGGGCTTGTTGGTATGTGGGATTGTTGATATGTGGGCTTGTTGATATGTGGGCTTGTTGGTATGTGGGCTTGTTGGTATGTGGGCTTGTTGATATGTGGGCTTGTTGATATGTAGGCTTGTTGATATGTGGGCTTGTTGGTATGTAGGCTTGTTGGTATGTGGGATTGTTGGTATGTGGGCTTGTTGGTATGTGGGCTTGTTGGTATGTGGGCTTGTTGGTATGTGGGCTTGTTGGTATGTGGGCTTGTTGGTATGTGGGCTTGTTGGTATTATGACATTAATGACATCTTAACTGATGGCATTAATGACACCTCGACTGATGACATAAATGACATCTGAGATAATAAACTGATGCCATGGAAACGTATCAAGGCCATAATGACAAGTTTCGTATCTCCTTCATCCAAACTTGTTTTTTTTTAGCCCAACCCTCCCCTCAATGGGTTCGCTTTGAGCCCAACCCTCCCCTCAATGGGTTCGCTTTGAGCCCAACCCTCCCCTCAATGGGTTCGCTTTGAGCCCAACCCTCCCCTCAATGGGTTCGCTTTGAGCCCAGCCCTCCCCTCAATGGGTTCGCTTTGAGCCCAACCCTCCCCTCAATGGGTTCGCTTTGAGCCCTGCCCTCCCCTCATAATAACCGTATCAATAGCTTTATTTATTGGCCTGACGAGTTCCCCCCCCCCCCCCCCACCCCATCCAGGAGAAGACCCGACCCCATGGCCATCGATCACGACGAAACCGACCAATCAAGTCGCCGCTTTTGGCAGCTCGCGAAAAATTTTACTTTCGACCTTTGAACTTTGATCTATCATAACTTGGCCGCCTTTGCCCGCCCCACCCATCGAGTTGGGGGGTGGGGGAATTATTTCCTGTAGCAGTGACCATTTGTGCGTTCTGGTGGATTTTATTTCTTAATTAGCTGGCCAGCGGCGACGCTTTTGTCAACATTATGTGATTGGTACATTGATCAGACGCGAGGAGTTGGCTTTATCGTCTATACAAGGTTTTTGTTGTATACAAGGTTTTGTTGTATACAAGGTTTTGTTGTATACAAGGTTTTGTTGTATACAAGGTTTTGTTGTATACAAGGTTTTGGTGTATACAAGGTTTTGTTGTATACAAGGTTTTGGTGTATACAAGGTTTTGTTGTATACAAGGTTTTGTTGTATACAAGGTTTTGTTGTATACAAGGTTTTGTTGTATACAAGGTTTTGTTGTATACAAGGTTTTGGTGTATTCAAGGTTTTTTTTGTATACAAGGTTTTGTTGTATACAAGGTTTTGTTGTATACAAGGTTTTGTTGTATACAAGGTTTTGTTGTATACAAGGTTTTGTTGTATACAAGGTTTTGTTGTATACAAGGTTTTGTTGTATACAAGGTTTTGTTGTATACAAGGTTTTGGTGTATACAAGGTTTTGTTGTATGCAATGTTTTGGTGTATACAAGTTTTTGGTGTATACAAGGTTATGTTGTATACAAGGTTTTGTTGTATGCAATGTTTTGGTGTATACAAGGTTTTGGTGTAGGGTTAGGGTTGGGGTTAGGGTTCGGATTGGGGTTGGGATAGGGGTTGGGATTAGGGTTGGGTATCTTGACAGGGTTAGGGTTCGGATTGGGGTTGGGATTAGGGATGACCAGTGAGACTGCAGAACGTGAACCCTTCGATGGACCCGTTCACTTTTGTTGACATGATCTCATTGAATTGGTTGAGAAATCCACCCGATGACACCCCCCCCCCTTACTGAAACTTGTCCACCCCCACCCCACATTGGTGTTTATTAAATGTGTTGGTATGCCAGCAAGATATTGACCCCTCTGGCCGTCCAACCGTCCACAATGGAACTGTCCGGCCGTCCATCCAGCGACTGGTACCGCGGCTCTCTGGTCCTGAAATTAATATTTTTATCTCCCCTGACCGAGGCAGCGCTGAAGGAGTTGTGTCCCCGGACAAAGGGGACATCAATCTGGCTCCGGCACGGCCGGGGCGGCGAGAAGTCATCCGGCCTGACAAGACCGGCAGACCGGTCCCCACCAGAACAATCGGCGTGTTTGTGGGCTGTTTGTGGGCTGTTTGTGGGCTGTTTGTGGGCTGTTTGTGGGCTGTTTGTGGGCTGTTTGTGGGCTGTTTGTGGGCTGTTTGTGGGCTGTTTGTGGGCTGTTTGTGGGCTGTTTGTGGGCTGTTTGTGGGCTGTTTGTGGGCTGTTTGTGGGCTGTTTGTGGGCTGTTTGTGGGCTGTTTGTGGGCTGTTTGTGGGCTGTTTGTGGGCTGTTTGTGGGCTGTTTGTGGGCTGTTTGTGGGCTGTTTGTGGGCTGTTTGTGGGCTGTTTGTGGGCTGTTTGTCTTCGTGGACACCTTTCAAAGCTTAGATACGTTTCAAGGGGGGGGGGGGGGGCTGAGTATCTGATTAAAAACCTCTGTAGCTCCCCCCCCCCCCCACACACACACTAACGTATACATCTAACCCACACAACCACACACCTACAAACCCACACACATATAACACATTCACCATCGGCGGAGATTATTTTTTGACCAACAGTCAGACGTTTTGCCCTCTGACAATGTCAAGTCTTCAGCCGGTCAAATGTCAAGTCTTCAGCCAGTCAAATGTCAAGTCTTCAGCCGGTCAAATGTCAAGTCTTCAGCCGGTCAAATGTCAAGTCTTCACCCGGTCCAATGTCAAGTCTTCAGCCGGTCAAATGACAAGTCTTCAGCCGGTCAAATGACAAGTCTTCACCCGGTCATATGTCAAGTCTTCAGCCGGTCAAATGTCAAGTCTTCAGCCGGTCAAATGTCAAATCTTCAGCCGGTCAAATGACAAGTCTTCAGCCGGTCAAATGACAAGTCTTCAGCCGATCAAATGTCAAATCTTCAGCCGGTCAAATGTCAAGTCTTCAGCCGGTCAAATGTCAAGTCTTCAGCCTGTCAAATGTCAAGTCTTCAGCCGGTCAAATGTCAAGTCTTCAGCCTGTCAAATGTCAAGTCTTCAGCCGGTCAAATGTCAAGTCTTCAGCCGGTCAAATGACAAGTCTTCAGCCGGTCAAATGTCAAGTCTTCAGCCAGTCAAATGTCAAGTCTTCAGTCGGTCAAATGTCAAGTCTTCAGCCGGTCAACTGTCAAGTCTTCAGCCGGTCAAATGTCAAGTCTTCAGCCGGTCAAATGTCAAGTCTTCAGCCGGTCAAATGTCAAGTCTTCAGCCGGTCAAATGACAAGTCTTCAGCCGGTCAAATGTCAAGTCTTCAGCCAGTCAAATGTCAAGTCTTCAGCCGGTCAAATGTCAAGTCTTCAGCCGGTCAAATGTCAAGTCTTCAGCCGGTCAAATGTCAAGTCTTCAGCCGGTCAAATGTCAAGTCTTCAGCCGGTCAAATGTCAAGTCTTCAGCCGGTCGAATGTTAAGTCTTCAGCCGGTCAAATGACAAGTCTTCAGCCGGTCAAATGACAAGTCTTCAGCCGGTCAAATGTCAAGTCTTCAGCCGGTCCAATGTCAAGTCTTCAGCCGGTCAAATGTCAAGTCTTCATCCGGTCCAATGTCAAGTCTTCAGCCGGTCAAATGACAAGTCTTCAGCCGGTCAAATGACAAGTCTTCACCCGGTCAAATGTCAAGTCTTCAGCCAGTCAAATGTCAAGTCTTCAGCCGGTCAAATGTCAAGTCTTCACCCGGTCAAATGTCAAGTCTTCAGCCAGTCAAATGTCAAGTCTTCAGCCGGTCAAATGTCAAGTCTTTTAGCCGGTCAAATGTCAAGTCTTCAGCCGGTCAAATGTCAAGTCTTCAGCCGGTCAAATGTCAAGTCTTCAGCCGGTCAAATGTCAAGTCTTCAGCCGGTCAAATGTCAAGTCTTCAGCCGGTCAAATGTTAAGTCTTCAGCCGGTCAAATGACAAGTCTTCAGCCGGTCAAATGTCAAGTCTTCAGCCGGTCAAATGTCAAGTCTTCAGTCGGTCAAATGTCAAGTCTTCAGCCGGTCAAATGTCAAGTCTTCAGACGGTCAAATGGCAAGTCTTCAGCCGGTCAAATGTCAAGTCTTCAGCCGGTCAAATGTCAAGTCTTCAGCCGGTCAAATGACAAGTCTTCAGCCGGTCAAATGACAAGTCTTCAGCCAGTCAAATGTCAAGTCTTCAGCCGGTCAAATGTCAAGTCTTCAGCCGGTCAAATGTCAAGTCTTCAGCCGGTCAAATGTCAAGTCTTCAGCCGGTCCAATGCCATGCACTCCCCCGGCTGACTAACCAATCTTAAGTCCAGATATATCTGGCACAGATATTATCTATTATTTTAGGTTTCTGCACATATTAGCATGAACTCCCCTGGGACTCAGATTTTAATGATGAGAGCATTAATCAAATGGTTTAGAAATGGCGGGGTTGATGAAGTGGCGAATCGCGTGCTTGAAGCTTGCTTAATTAGACCATAGTGATATGGCACTGACATGACATCGCATGACATGACATGGCATCACACCCTCAAAATCAGCGGCCTGATACCATCAAAAACTGTGGCCTGACACCATCAAAAACTGTGGCCTGACACCATCAAAAACTGTGGCCTGACACCATCAAAAACTGTGGCCTGACACCATCAAAAACTGTGGCCTGACACCATCAAAAACTGTGGCCTGACACCATCAAAAACTGTGGCCTGACACCATCAAAAACTGTGGCCTGACACCATCAAAAACTGTGGCCTGACACCATCAAAAACTGTGGCCTGACACCATCAAAAACTGTGGCCTGACACCATGACACCATCAAAAACTGTGGCCTAACACCATAACACCATCAAAAACTGTGGCCTGACACCATGACACCATCAAACTGTGGCCTGACACCATCAAACTGTGGCCTGACACCATGACACCATCGAAAACTATGGCCTGACACCATCAAAAACTGTGGTCTAATCTCCTGCTAATCTCTTGCTAATCTCTCGGTGTTAATTATCTGTCGTAATAATCCCCACAGCCTCGTCACACAATATAAGTGCATCGCCATTTGCCATCATTTGCATAAATCGACATGCAGCTCATGAATATTCATGGCACGCGCTTTTGTACATCCCCTCCGTGTCTCATTCCTTAATTAAAATTTTTAGCCCGCTAACTTGGTTTTTATTCTTTCTTTCCTCGCCGCTTTTTTCTGGCATCAACTGGTGGACAGGGGGGCGTCACTCTAAATCTCGTCAGTTACCTCAGCGTGGTGAGGTAACTGACCCAACTGACAAATGGACAGGACACCGTTACCTCAGCGTGGTGAGGTAACTGACCCAACTGACAAATGGACGGGACACCGTTACCTCAGCGTGGTGAGGTAACTGACCCAACTGACAAATGGACAGGACTGTTGGGTGTAGGACTTCCGTCATGTATTCTAACCTACAGCTAGATATACTCAACATGTTTTATATATATATATATATATATATATATATATATATATATATATATATATATATATATATATATATATGCATTAATACTACATATTAAATATGTAAGTCCGACATTAGATTGGCACCAACAAAATGCGTTATGACAATGTTGGGTCACACTGCCATGCGTTCTGTAATATTTTGCTGCTTTTTTTTTTTTAAGTGAACGCATTATTTTTAGAATTTGTCTGACTGAAAAAACTCAACGAAATTTTGGCTTCACTGCGCAACATTTTTCTGGCCAACTTCCAGTTGAGTTTTTAGCTTTCTTTGATTTCTTGGCGCAGCAACTCGAATAAAATGTAGCACCAAACTTTACATTTCCTAATGCCTTTTTCCCGCTATCTTTTCTTTAATAAATCCGTTTAAAATTTCGAATGTTAAAATTCTGTACTGAATTATGCAATCACAGAAAGCGTCTCTAATATCCCGTGCATGTAGTGTGTCTGTCACTTTTCCTGTTAGCGGTATAGACACTTGGTTAGCGCAGTCGAAAGATGGTTTAGCATCTATTGAAGTCTGCGGGCAAAGCTTCATCAGTGGGAGGTTACATCATAAACAAATTTTGTCCTGAGATATTTTGTCCTGAGATATTTTGTCCTGAGATATTTTGTCCAGAAATATTTTGTCTTGAGATATTTTGTCTAGAGATATTTTGTCCAGAAATATTTTGTCTTGAGATATTTTGTCTAGAGATATTTTGTCCAGAAATATTTTGTCCTGAGATATTTTGTGATGTATTAATGATGGTATGATACACAACATTTTGTGATGAATTAATGATGGTATGATACACATTTTGTGATGAATTAATGATGGTATGATACACAACATTTTGTGATGAATTAATGATGGTATGATACACAACATTTTGTGATGGTATGATACACACTAACGTCTTGATATATTAACAAGCTACATCTATAGCAGACAAAGACTTTTTCCTCATCGATTTTCCTTTTCTCTTTCGATCTTAAAAACGATCCGCCAGAAGTGTTCTATACTCAATCTTTATTTTTGTTTATTTCAGATGAAAGATGGATGCTATCTAGACACTGCGACCTCGTCTGATTGTTGACGTGTATCACCATGGCAACCAGCACATCCAAGGCAGGCTACATGCTTGGCGCGGCCTTGAACTTGAGCCTCGCCCCGAGCGAGGTCAGCACTGCCTTCTACACGGACAACCTGACGCTCCTGGCCACATCCATGGCCGACAACGTCACTTCCGCCCTGACCAACGCCAGCAACAGCAGCCTGGAGCTGCCTGGCAACCAGACCAACATGACGTCACCCCACAGCCTGCCGCACTCCGTGGGGCTGACCGTGTTCCTGGGTCTGCTGGCGGGCGTGGTCAGTCTGGTCACCATCCTGGGCAACATCACGGTGCTGCTGGCCTTTGGGCTGGAGCGGACCATCCGCCAGCCCACCAACTACTTTCTGGCCTCGCTGGCCGTGTCTGACCTGCTCATAGGGACCTTCTCCATGCCGCTCTACACCCAGTACCTGCTGTGGGGCAAGTGGCCGCTCGGCCCGTGGCTCTGTGACCTCTGGCTGTCCTTGGACTGGACGGTCTGTCTGACGTCACAGTACACGGTGTTTCTCATCACCATGGACCGGTTCCTGAGCGTCAAGATTCCGGCCAAGTACCGGAACTGGAGAACGGAGAAGAAGGTGATGGTGATGATCTCCATCACGTGGATCCTGCCGGCCATCGTCTTCTTCACCTCCATCATCGGCTGGCAGTACTTCGTCGGCGAGCGGACGGTCAAATACGACGCCTGCGAGGTCCAGTTCATGAGCGACACCATGTTCACTTTCCTGCTGACCATCGGCTACTACTGGATCACTCTGGTCGTCATGTTCGTCCTGTACGGCGGTATCTACAAGGTGGCCCTGGACCTCCAGCGCAAGTCTGACGAGAAGCACAAGAAGCTGCAGTCCACCATGGAGCTGGCCGGAGACAACCCCAACGCCGCGGTCCGCAGCTTCGGCACCGACCACGACGTGGCCAGCAACAACAACAGCAGTATGGGCGCCGACAGCCACCCGCCGCAGAAGGAGAGGAACAGCCGCAAGAGCAAGAAGAAAAACTTGGAGCACAGCAACTCGCGCAAGTCGGTCAAGGCCGCCCTACCGATGCCCCCGGGCGCTCCCGTGGTCAACACCACCAGCTTCAGCAGCAGCAAGGTCAACGACAAGGACGACGACCGCTCCAGCAGTCCGGCTTTTGCCTCAGATGACGACAACAGTAGCAGTGGCGGCGCGGCCGGATCCGGCAAATCCCCCCTGACCTCGGGTATGTATTCCGGAAAACCGCACGCAACTGCCGGTATTGATAACAGTGCGCTTTACACCAACACCGGTGGTCTAGTGCGCTCACTACATGCTGATCTTTTCTTCTCTCCAACCCCAGATAACCAAGAGAGCCAAAACCTTCTCCAGCCGCCACCCCCCTACTCCAAACACGACGCCAAGAACGCCAGCGAGGCCGGCTCCGATGTGGAGGGCAGCCAGCTCCAAGAGTTCGACAGCGTCTACTCCTCCTCCAACTCGGAGCGCCTCGAGAAGCAGACGACGCCGCTGCTTCAGAACGAGATCATGAAAGGCTGCCGCTTCATCGACGAGAAAAGTTTTCTGGCGACCCTCAGCTCGGAGAGCGCCGCCCTGCTGCCCGTCATCCACGGGGAGTCGGAGATGGACGACTCGGACGTGGCCGACCTGCACACGTCCTCGCCCATATGGAAGCGGCGGACGTCACTGCCGCCATTGGCTACGGACGTCTTTGATTTGGACGATGACGTCAGCGACTGTCTGATCGACTACGCCACCACCGCCACCACCACCACCAGCGACCTATCAGCAGCCGCCATCGTTTACTCCAGCAGCAAGAACCACCGCGGCCAGCGCCCCCGTGCCGACACGGCCAACACCATGACGTCCACCACCACCGGCGCCGACACGGGCACCGACGACAGCAGCGGCAACAAGTCCAGCGAGCTGACCGGTCACGTGGACGGCAACAACTGCTCAAACCCGCCGCCGTCCGACACCAACGAGGACAGCGGCCGCTCGGACACGCACTGCCTGGCGGCCATCCGGCGCCGGCACAACAAGGACACCCGGCTACACTCCTTCGTCAAATCTGTCCGCTCCCGCAACAGCCGCCGCCGGAACCGGCGAGAACGGAAATCAAAATCGGAGAACCGCGCTCGGAAAGCGCTGAGGACTATCTCTTTCATTCTGGGGGCGTTCGTCCTGTGCTGGACACCCTACCACGTGGCCATCATGGTGTACGCCATCTGCGACACGTGCGTCAACAGCGGCCTCTACAGCTTCTCATACTGGATGTGTTACCTCAACAGCCCCATCAACCCCTTCTGCTACGCGTTCGCCAACGCCCAGTTCAAGCGGACATTTCTCCGCATCATGCGCTTCGACTGGCACCGGACATGATGACGTCATGGATTATAGTCCAGCTGTTCCACATCCGCTGCCGTCTGCTGGGGAGGTCACCGTGACCCCGGCTTCTCGCGGACACAGTGTCACGTCCGCTGTGTCACGTCCGCGGTGTCACGCCGGCGTGACCACGCTACCAAGGACAAGCTTACCTGAGACAACACACTAGAGCGTACAGACAATTAGTTTAATTAGCGTGTTAATAATTAACTAATTATCGCTTGTCATTTTTGTACAAATTTTTTTATTTTTTAAATCACGAGTCGCGCTTTTGTTTGTGTAGGTTTATATTTCTACAACTGCCCTGGTGACCTTGACTCGAGTGACCTTGAGCTGGTGACCTTGGGCGTTGTAACTGATTGAAGCGGAACTGTGATTCACGTCGTGACTGATGACTGCTTGTGGGGGAGACATTGTGTGTGGCTGATGACATGACTGGATGACATGACTGGATGACATGACTGGATGACATGACTGGATGACATGACTGGATGACATGACTGGATGACATGACTGGATGACATGACTGGATGACATGACTGGATGACATGACTGGATGACATGACTTGATGACATGACTTCATGACATGACTGGATGACATGACTTCATGACATGACTTAATGGCATGACTTGATGACATGACTTAATGACATGACTTCATGACATGACTGGATGACATGACTTGATGATATGACTGGATGACATGACTTGATGACATAACTTAATGACATGACTGAATGACATGACTGGATGATATGACTGCTAGTAATGTCTGCTTGACTTGACTTATGGCGTGTGTGTTTAAGTCATGATTGCGTATGACAACTCGATAATAAAATATGACATATGACTTAAGCAAACCACACTGGGAAACAGCTGACTTTAAAACCAATTTTATGACTGTGTGTCATGAAACCGTGACACTTGGCATTTGGCATTTGATTCTGTGCCGTATTGGTAATGATTGAATGACATCTGTGTGTTAAATGACGCGACCGTATGACATGTGAAATTAAGGCTTCGGTGTATACCTCAGTGTCTATCCCATCCCTATCCCATCCCTATCCCAACCATATCCATCCCTATACAAAGCAGAGGTGTAGCTACGATATATCAAGCATAGGCAATGCTTAACGGCCCTAGACACATAGGGGCTCTAGAAACATAAGGGCCCTAAAAACATAGGGGCCCTAGACACATAGGGGCCCTAGACACATAGGGGCCCTAAAAACATAGGGGCCCTAGACACATAGGGGCTCTAGAAACTTAAGGGCCCTAGGTTTTCCCAAAAATCCTAGCTACGCCACTGTCCCAATGTCTCCTAAATGTTATCCCAGTATCTATCCCAGTATCTATCCCAACCTCTTCACATTCGTACCTTGTCCATGACGTCAGCTATTGGCAGATCTTACAACCCAACCCCAACCCGAACCTGAACCCGAACCCCAGTAAAGAACGGAAGTGTAAACAAATATTTGAACCGAATCATTTAGTCTTTTAACTTTCAACCTTTAGGCCTAAAAAATTCAAACCTATCGGTAAATCGATTGATCGAAGTTCGAGTCGCTTGATCGATCTAAATTGACTGATCTGTGTGTCTAACGTCCCCCCCCCCCCATCTACTTCAGTCTTGAACTTTAGGCCATAACTTTTGTCTGGTTGTGACGTCAACGTCATTGTCTTGACCAGATGTGACGTCATGGCCCGTCTCTTCTGTGACGTCATGGCCCTCTGCTATGTGACGTCATGGCCCTCTGCTATGTGACGTCATGGCCCTCTGCTATGTGACGTCATGGCCCGTCTCTCGTCTGTTCTGTGAGCCGTGTGAGTCGACCAAACTGTGCACGTGTCACCCCCACCCCCTCCCCAAGTGCCCCCTCCCTCTCCCCAAATTCCCCCGCCCCCTCCCCCTCCCCAAATTCCCCCTCCCCAAATCCCCACCCCCACGTCTAGCTGATGATGTGTACACAGATGCTACCTGTAACGTTAAGCCTGTTGTAAACGTCAAATAATAACTAACAGTAACCTTTAACCTTTAACCTAACCATTTTGTACAGGAACTGTGTGATCATGTTTTGTTACATTTTTTACAGTTTGCAAATATTTGTATAAAGCTGCTTGAATAGATACTAATATATCTCATGTATTCATAAATATATTTGAATTATTGTATAATTATATAGTGCTGTATGACGATTATAAAATTATACAATAATTCTATAACTGTACATTGTTTCTATATGAATGAATCATGCATTATACAATGCTATAAATATACCAATACTATGATTTGTGAGTTCTAGAACTTGTAGATAGAATTTGTGAGTTCTAGAACTTGTAGATAGAATTTGTCGACCGTCACTTGGTGACGTCATAGTCGCGCGGGTTCACTGACGCGGGTTTATGGGGCTCTGACCCCCCACTCTCACCCCCCCCCCCACTCTCAACCCCACCCCACCCCCACTCTCACCCCCTCACTCTCACCCCCACTCTCACCCCCACACCCCCCCACTCTCGCCCCCCTCCCCACTCTCAGTTACCCCAGCACCCAGCACCCCCAACATTTACCCTAGCACCCCCAACATTTACCCTAGCACCCCCAACATTTACCCTAGCACCCCCAACATTTACCCTAGCACCCAGCACCCCCAACATTTACCCCAGCACCCCCAACATTTACCCCAGCACCCGCAACATTTACCCCAGCACCCAGCACCCCCAACATTTACCCCAGCACCCCCAACATTTACCCCAGCACCCCAACACCCCAACATTTACCCCAGCACCCAGCACCCCCAACATTTACCCCAGCACCCCCAACATTTACCCCAGCACCCCAACACCCCAACATTTACCCCAGCACCCAGCACCCCCAACATTTACTCCAGCACCCCCAACATTTACCCCAGCACCCAGCACCCCCAACATTTATCCCAACACCCCCAACATTTACCCTAGCACCCCCAACATTTACCCCAGCACCCAGCACCCCCAACATTTACCCTAGCACCCAGCACCCCCAACATTTACCCCAACACCCCCAACATTTACCCTAGCACCCCCAACATTTACCCCAGCACCCAGCACCCCCAACATTTACCCTAGCACCCAGCACCCCCAACATTTACCCCAACACCCCCAACATTTACCCTAGCACCCCAACACCCCAACATTTACCCCAGCACCCCCAACATTTACCCCAGCACCCCAACACCCCAACATTTACCCCAGCACCCAGCACCCCCAACATTTACCCCAGCACCCCCAACATTTACCCCAGCACCCCAACACCCCAACATTTACCCCAGCATCCAGCACCCCCAACATTTACCCCAGCACCCCCAACATTTACCCCAGCACCCCAACACCCCAACATTTACCCCAGCACCCAGCACCCCCAACATTTACTCCAGCACCCCCAACATTTACCCCAGCACCCCAACACCCCAACATTTACCCCAGCACCCAGCACCCCCAACATTTACTCCAGCACCCCCAACATTTACCCCAGCACCCAGCACCCCCAACATTTATCCCAACACCCCCAACATTTACCCTAGCACCCCCAACATTTACCCCAGCACCCAGCACCCCCAACATTTACCCTAGCACCCAGCACCCCCAACATTTACCCCAACACCCCCAACATTTACCCTAGCACCCCAACACCCCAACATTTACCCTAGCACCCCCAACATTTACCCCAGCACCCAGCACCCCCAACATTTACCCTAGCACCCAGCACCCCCAACATTTACCCCAACACCCCAACATTTACCCTAGCACCCAGCACCCCCAACATTTATCCCAACACCCCCAACATTTACCCCAGCACCCAGCACCCCCAACATTTACCCCAGCACCCAGCACCCCCAACATTTACCCTAGCACCCAGCACCCCCAACATTTACCCCAGCACCCCCAACATTTACCCTAGCACCCCCAACATTTACCCCAACACCCCCAACATTTACCCCAGCACCCAACACCCCCAACATTTACCCCAGCACCCCCAACATTTACCCTAGCACCCCCAACATTTACCCTAGCACCCCCAACATTTACCCTAGCACCCCCAACATTTACCCCAGCACCCAACACCCCCAACATTTACCCCAGCACCCCCAACATTTACCCTAGCACCCCCGACATTTACCCCAGCACCCCCAACATTTACCCTAGCACCCCCAACATTTACCCTAGCACCCCAACACCCCAACATTTTTTCCAGCACCCCCAACATTTACTCTAGCACCCCCAACATTTACCCCAGCACCCCAACACCCCAACATTTACCCCAGCACCCAACACCCCCAACATTTACTCCAGCACCCCCAACATTTACCCCAGCACCCAACACCCCCAACATTTACTCCAGCACCCCCAACATTTACCCCAGCACCCAACACCCCAACATTTACTCCAGCACCCCCAACATTTACCCCAGCACCCAGCACCCCCAACATTTATCCCAACACCCCCAACATTTACCCTAGCACCCCCAACATTTACCCCAGCACCCAGCACCCCCAACATTTACCCTAGCACCCAGCACCCCCAACATTTACCCCAACACCCCCAACATTTACCCTAGCACCCCAACATTTACCCCAGCACCCCAACACCCCAACATTTACCCCAGCACCCAGCACCCCCAACATTTACTCCAGCACCCCCAACATTTACCCCAGCACCCAGCACCCCCAACATTTATCCCAACACCCCCAACATTTACCCTAGCACCCCCAACATTTACCCCAGCACCCAGCACCCCCAACATTTACCCTAGCACCCAGCACCCCCAACATTTACCCCAACACCCCCAACATTTACCCTAGCACCCCAACACCCCAACATTTACCCCAGCACCCCCAACATTTACCCCAACACCCCAACATTTACCCTAGCACCCAGCACCCCCAACATTTATCCCAACACCCCCAACATTTACCCCAGCACCCAGCACCCCCAACATTTACCCCAGCACCCAGCACCCCCAACATTTACCCTAGCACCCAGCACCCCCAACATTTACCCCAGCACCCCCAACATTTACCCTAGCACCCCCAACATTTACCCCAACACCCCCAACATTTACCCCAGCACCCAACACCCCCAACATTTACCCCAGCACCCCCAACATTTACCCTAGCACCCCCAACATTTACCCTAGCACCCCCAACATTTACCCTAGCACCCCCAACATTTACCCCAGCACCCAACACCCCCAACATTTACCCCAGCACCCCCAACATTTACCCTAGCACCCCCGACATTTACCCCAGCACCCCCAACATTTACCCTAGCACCCCCAACATTTACCCTAGCACCCCAACACCCCAACATTTTTTCCAGCACCCCCAACATTTACCCTAGCACCCCCAACATTTACCCCAGCACCCAACACCCCCAACATTTACCCCAGCACCCCCAACATTTACCCCAGCACCCAACACCCCCAACATTTACCCCAGCACCCCCAACATTTACCCCAGCACCCCCAACATTTACCCCAGCACCCAACACCCCCAACATTTACCCCAACACC